CTTTAGGGTCAAAGGATATAAAGGTGCAATTATTTTAACTGAGCATTATACTTTGGGCTAGTTCGCTCAGACTATTTTATTGTTAGCGATGAGGCCCATAGCAAAATGTCGTCGTATAAACCCATGTCTAAAACAAAGATTGTAATCCACTGGTCATCATGTCATAGACAGTTTTATTATATACTTGAGTGTTTAAGACTGAGTTTTCTGAAGTTGAGAAAAGTGACATTTTATTGCAATGAACACAACACTTGATATTTCACTGCTGTGAACATAACACTTTGACGGAACTATTGTCATATAAGAGTGGCCTCCCCTCAAATTGTCTCCCTTTATTCTAAGTGTCTGATCCGTTCACAAACTGTTCACTTCCTTTTTACGTTAGTTCTACATTGACAAGGCAAAATAATGACAGATGATCATTTATGGAGTTAATATCGCTTCATGGCGTTTGTGATTTTCTTGAAAATGTTCCGTTATAAACTGTAAATGTCTCTGAACACACAAATGTAAATGTCTCACTTAACTCGTCAATCGAGACTGTTCGTTTCGCAAAGTGCCATTTTTGTTACTTGACCAGCGTGTTTTGTTTCGCTTGTAAGACATCAGTCTCGTTTTCAATAATATTTTTGGTTAAAGTTGATTTTGTATATAATCATATCTATATCTATGATACAGAACTTTCGCGACCCTAAATATTTTTTGTCACCTTGTTTATGTGTTTTATGATTTTGCAAACACAAAGGGTGGTGACCCGTCCCTGTGTGTCAGATAGGGAGAATTTACGTTTCAAGGTTTTACATTTGTAATGAAATAATTTCCGGTAGACAACTACACAAAAATTATATAATAAATAGGATATATATGTCTCGTGAAATATCATATCATATCCCTCAGAGAAACATGATATTTCACTCGATTTATGTGATGTCGTCTCAACGATGTATCCACATGTGATCGCGAAACCCACATTTTCTTAGAAAATGATTCGCAACTGGGAATTACGGAATATCTGCCCCTCGTGAAATAATGTTGAAAGTTCCTCGCCAAAGCTCTCGACTTACAAAACTAATTCACTAGGGGCAGTTACTCCGTAGTTCCCCGAAGCCCGTGTTATAGGTTCTTTTCTAATAAATATATTGCAAGTGGTTCCGGTTTTTGATTGGCTAACCAGTCAATTTTCTTTTTGCGTTTATACCTCCAAAACCCGAAAAATCGGCCACTCCCACTGACAACAATGATGGTAATGGATGGGTAAGAAAAACAGAGAGACAGTTTATTTAGTAATGTAGGCATCACGGCTCACAGTACAATGCAGTTTTGGATATTAACATTTACATTAACATTTGATGAACATGATTAGATTTTAAATCCCCGGATTCACTGTACCCTTGTCCTTGAACTCCCACGTTCCCCGGAATCACTGTATCCCCGTCCCTTGACTTATCAATTTCCCCGGATTTAGTGTATCCCTGTTCCTAGACTCATTACATTCCCCGGACTCACTGTACCCCCGTTCCTGGACTCCCCACATTCCCTGGATTCGCTGTATTCCCGGACTCGCCACATTTCCCGGATTCACTGTTTTCCCGTCTCTGGACTCCCCATATTCCCCAGATTAGTGTGAATGGCCGTTCCTGGTCACACTACATTTGCCAGATTTACTGCATCTCTCCGTCTGCGACATCGGCACACTTCCACCTCCGTCCATAGATTTACCACAAACCCCGGATTCAGTACATCCGCGTCAATGGACGCACCATATATTCCCCGCATGGGGGTGTATCTCCCTGAAAATTGTGTTTTAATTGTGTCCCGGTGTTTCTGAAAATTAAGAAAATCTTTGGGCTCCTTTTTATTATATTTTATAACTATAAGTTAACAACTGTTTTTTCTGTAAATATATTCATTTCAGAGACTAGATGTTAAACTATTGACTCAACATACACTCCAGATTGGGGCGCATATCCATCCCGAGAAATCACCACATTCCCCGGACTGGGGAGCATCGCCATCTCTGGACAAGTCACATTCCCGGATTCAGTACATGTCTGTCCCTGGAAATCATCGCGTCTATTTCCCTGGACTCCCCACAATCCCCGCATCTCCACTAGACTCCCGTATTACCTGGATTCCCTGTATCTTTACTGGACTCCCCACAATCCCAGATTTAAATGTCTCTCCGTCCCTTGACTAGGTCCATTCCCTGAATCTCTAGGTATACCTATCTATGTCCCTAGCTACCCATGTACATCTCACTCCATAGATACCCTGGGTATGTCCACCCAAGGAAGCTCTTGTTTCGGCCATCTCAATGTTACCAACTACAAATGAGGAAAGTCTGCAGCATCACCTCTGGTTGCCGGGTGAGTTTATTACGGAACATGAAACCAGCAAAGCTGCACTTTGAATGAATGTGTGTAATATTTTTTTTAGCTACAACTAAAAAATGCATGAATGTGGCCGCGTCTTTTGATTTTCAGTATGTTGTGTTAATGTCATTGTAGATATATCTGTTGGTGCTATATGGCGACGTCCACATGTATAATTGTAACAGAACAGAACTTTATTTACACTCTGGCCGTGAACCACGGCATATGAGGATTACAATACAAGTAAATAATGTGTATACAAGATTGCGGGCGGAGCCATCTTCCCGAAGCAAGGGAGATAACTAAGTATTAAAGTGCGTGGAAACTACACTTTTACAGTCAGGTAACTCCCTTGCCTCGGGAACGTAAGACGGACTAGACCTTAAATACAATAGTTACAGACTAGTTGCAACCAGAGGTGTTGGGTGACCGTGGGTCATGCATACAGCAAGTATGTTTGACACACTCCATTTGTGAAACATTTGTAATGTTCTCGTTAATTACAAGAACAACTGTTGAAAAACTGTAGAACATCTCACTCACTTATAAAAGACAACTTTCTCTTTAAGGTCATCATCTGAGTATTTACAATGTATGTGTGACGCCACATCCCTTGTTATAGCGCAAGTAATCACGATAACCATGGCCTTCCGAAAACCTATGATGATAGATCCTTGTTAAAAAAGTTAAAGTTACTATTGCATTTGCGTAAAATTAGACATGTAACATGCTGTGCAGGTGCAAATCAATGTTTTGTTTGTTTGTTATTTAACGCCGCAATCAGCAATGTTCGAGCTATATGACGGCGGTCTGTAAATAATCGCGTATGGACCAGACAATCAAGTGATGGACATCATGAACATCGATCCACGCAATACGGATCGATGACATGCATCAACCAAGTCATCGATCCCAATTGCGTGGATCGATATTCATGTTATCCATCGCTGGATTGTCTGGTTCAGACTCGATTATTTACAGACCGCCTTCAATGTTGGTTGGTTGGTTGGTTTGTTGTTTAACGCCGCACTCAGCAATATTCCAGCTATATGACGGCAGTCTGTAAATAATCGAGTCTGGACCAGACAATCCAGTGATTGATATCATGAGCATCGATCCACGCAATTGGGATCGATGACATGCATCAACAAAGTCAGCGAGTCTGACCACCCGATCCCGTTAGTCACCTTTTACACCCCGGAATCTTCACGGGTCCCGCCGTCAATGTAAGTATATGTATAGAGATTATTATACGAGCATGTGGTCTTACTGATTTTACGAAACGAATGCCATAATTCGTGTATTTCCGGAGCGAGACCATGGTAATACATGAATTCTTACAAAAGTTTCCCTTAAATCAGAATAAAATACGCGAGTGTAATAATTTCTTTATTATCCATTATTTCTTAATCCTTCTGAGCTCCCGTTGAAGAAACATGCAGTGATCACTACCGCTGTCCTAGAAAAACCACCGTCATATTCAGCTTTGACTTTTCAAGTGTGACGTCATGCCATAATAAGATTCGAATGACGTCAACAATGCAATCCAAATGACGGAAACAATACACAGGTGGGAGAAGCGATATGTGCACTAATGCACATTCGATTTTTATTAAATGGCTTATTTCTAACCCTATGGGTAATAACATATGGTATTAGTATGCAAGTGTGCATGTGCCCTGTGAAGATCGGGTAGAATAGGTCATGAACCCATGCTTGCCATAAAAGGCGACTAGAATAACGATCGGGTGGTCAAGGCTCCCTGTCTTGGTTGATGCATGTCATGGTATCCCAAAAATGTGGGTCGATGTACATGTCAATCGCTGGAATATTTACAGAACGCAGTCATATAGCTGTAACAGTGAGGTTAAACAAATAAACCTTCATGTATGTAGAATGAAATTTACTTGGCATAATGTGTTGGTGTCTGATGCCACATCTTAGCCACGTGTGTTCTTTGTTTACTTGTGTAGATAAGCATGTGGTACCAGGTATGTATATATTATCCGTACAGGTCTAAAAAGAAGATCTCCGATACGTACATTACATAATGTGAGGTGACCTGTATAAAATGTATTTTGAACACTGCAGGGTCAACTGGAACCAGCACCCGAAACATCTCAGGAACCTTGACCTATTGGTCAATATGGTACCTCCTTTGATCTTACACCGTCCACAAATTGTTTCAGGGTTTTATATAAGATAACTGTACACTGTGGGCTAGTTCCAGGACAGAAAAAATGTGACATCTGCTCACACCATGTGGCCTTCTGGGTCCCTTTCTGAGAAGCCCCAAATCCAATGCTGCAAGATTTGGTACTTTGATCAAAATGATGGCCTATAAACAAATACATTGATTGATCTTGTGAGCAGCGACCCATGCCATTAGGGGTACAAAATAACACCACCAACAAAGTCTGCGACTCTGACACCCATCATCCACTTGGTTGCCTCTTACGACCCACAGGTTGATTAGGACCTATTCTACCCCTGAATCCCAAGAAGACATTGGCAAGGTTGCCCCCTCCCCAGAAGCATCAGGTGCTAATTAACAAAAATAACTTCATGTCAAACACATCTAGTAACATAAACCAAACACTTGTGCTAAACACATCTCGAAAACATTTGTTTTGTTTTTTTATTTTTTATTAAAATGATATTTACATGATTCACATACTCGTCCAGAAATATACAATGTAATCTTGCTTAGTTAAAATTTGAGCATTGGATGATTCTTAGACAACATACCTAATCTTTCTTAGATAACGAAAATACATGAGCAGCAAAGCTTAATATCAACAGACTGCCAAACAAAAACATACTGGCATAATTAACTGGATGGTCTTACACACAATATCAGACTAGATCAAGAAAGTAATTATGCAAGCTTGCAAAGGTAACCCATAACCAGATTTATTTCCTTCCTATTGTAAAAATTAAGTAGGAATGTACATAGACATTTTGGAATGGAGATATTCTTGAACGTCGGATTAGGTAACTGTAGACCAGGGTGGTCGTGTATGTACAATTCAGCTTGCATAGTAATGGAACTGGCAACTTTTACAAATTCACAGGTGCATCAATAAATATTATGAAATAAATAAACTATCACATTTTATCTAAAGCAACCAGTGATTGTGTTAAAACGCTTTCACTCAACAAAAAAAAGATTTAAAAAATAAAATTTAACCAAAATACTCGAAGGTAATTCAATTCAGTCTCAATGCCTTCCATTTTTTATGTTTACAACCATACGATGGCAGATGCCCTGGCTACATACATTCATGACGCGTCCACATAATAAACCTATCTACAATTGATAATCCTAGAGTTAAAGACAAGCAGTACCGCCTACGTTTACGAGGTGTGTATATTTTATTGTGAAAAACAGTGATGAGATTGACAGGGATGTTGTGATCCCGTGTGATGGGCAGCAGAATTGGTGCCCGCTCCTGACGCCATTCCTTTACTCCTCGCCAGAACCCGAAGATCTTTTGCTTCTTCGCTGGCGAGGTGATTGCTTTGGGGAACGCCGAGGAGAACGATCTGGAATAGAATCACATAGTCAGATTCTGATTTTCACAAAAGGACAATCAATACCTATGGTTGGAGGTTATAAAAAAATGTTCTAAGGTATGTTTTTTTTGTTCAATTATCAACTAAACAAGATCTTTTAGCAGTCATGACTTTTCAAGCCAAGGGAGACAACTCTAAAACCAATTAGACCAACTGCAACAAAAGGTCCCCAATATCAATGGATAAACACGACAATCAGCATTTTATGACTGCTTCAGGAAATTCCTTGTTAATATCAAAGGATTATAGTCATCTTTATTTTCATTCCTTTATTTTTAAATAAAAAGCAGCCCTGTGTAGACTGGAAACTAGGCAATCTGTGTGATCTGCAATCATTTTACTAGGCTGCTACGCTTCTATGCATGACAAACAGATGCTCATAAAATTATCGATCAGGCAACACTTACTCATCTCCTGGAGCGTTTCCTTTGGGAGCCAGTCGTAGTCTACATCCGACTTCTGGGTGCCCATTTCCACGATGGGTTTGTGTTTGGGCAGCAGACGTTTCCTCTGAAAAAAACAACAACAAACCAGTCAGTAAGTTACTCCGCACCCTTGCCACATGAATCAAATCATAAAATTTCTGATGGCCAGAGTATCGAGACTAATGTTCCAATGGGATAATTTATCCTTGACAATTCTAGATTCCTCAATACTTAATCTCATTGCAATCCAAAGGCTGACTTTGCATGTGTAAATAAACTCCATTTTTCAATACATGAAATCATCAAGCATCTTGTACTGAGGAAGAATAACATCAGCACCACAAGGTGACAACTCACTCCATAAGTGGACAGCAACTGCTGGGCTCCGACTAGCAAAAGGACAGCAACCGCAGCCAAAAACACGTACAAGAAGAAGCTGCAACAAATGATCACCAGACACATGTCAAACACTACACAAATATCTCAATGTGGTGTGGTGTGGTGTGGTGTGGTGTGGTGTGGTGTGGTAATGCCACTCATGGCAGCCTGCAGATATTCATGTCTGAACAGAGACACCAGTGACCGATATTAGCAATGATCCTTGCTGTCTGGGCAAGATGACATGCTATCAGCCAAGTCACTGATCTTGACAATTTATTCCAGTAAACTGCCTCTTAGGCTCTCAGCATATGCATCACTCACATAACACATTTCATTTTTATCGTAATCTTCTGTAACAGTCTTAGAGTTAAACTTGTTCAACATTTTACTAATGCTTTCAAAAGTTAGATGTAGCAATAACATTAACATTTGTCAGAGTGCTAATATATGAATATCTGAGGTTCCAACTTGCTAGGTAATAACTGTCAGAGAAATCCTAATTGATGAAAGCAAAATGAATTCACCACTCAAACTTTTCTCCCTTATTCTAGCAGCCATCAGGAAGACCAAGCACTACATAGTGGCATAGTCTGCTGTAGAGGTTGCATAAGATGCCAGACAAGTTTGTAACATTCTCTTCTGTAATTCAGGACCAACTTACGTTTCCCCATCCAGACCCTCATCAGGCTCCACCACAGTAATAGTTTCATTGTACACAGCATTTTGGAAGAAATTGCCTTCCTGTAAAGAGGGGAAAAGGTCATAGAATTACAAGATGTCATTATATTCACATACAAAAGAAACCAACACTCACTGGTAGCATCACTTGACTACAGGAGCTGACCACAAACAATTCAGTCAACCATTTGGTTTTTAGCACTGGCAAGTTGTCATGCTGGTGGTAAGATGACACCCAATCCACTGTCACCAATTCCCCCACTTGATCCATCTATCTAATCAACTGTTATGACAAACATGGGTTGCTGAGGCCCCCCCCCAATATACTACTCAAAACAAGTTAAAGAACACCCGATTTGTTTCATATTTCTATACTTTATACAGGTCATCCATAAACAAGATAAAAACACAGACCCCACCAAAATACACCTTATCTGTCACATTACTTGGTTATCAAGTGTTTTAGGACTCAACTAAAGGCCTGGGAGAGAAGTTCTACACACAGTCCATCAAGTAACAACGGTTGTGCTCTAGCTTCTCCACAGTCTATCTAGCAAGCTGTATGAAAGTGAACAACATATCGTCATCCAATTACTTTCAACTTGCAGGTTGAACAGAAGAAAACGAGTAGTTTATGAAAGTCTTCACGCAACACCACTAACAAGCACTGATTCTATGGTCTGACATATTAACGCTATTCTAAGATAGGAATATTACATTGAAGTACACCTTTTTATAGTAGGATCAATAGTACATTACCAGCTCAAATGGTTCAGGATATGCCTGTAACAACCATGTTTGCAAGTGCACTGTGGCCCAATCTCAATAATATGTAGCTTTTATAATTCATAATCACTTTTCACAACAGTCTAACCCTCCGGTCACCACCTACGACAAACAGGTCAGACCTACTCTAACCATGCTAACCAGGAATCCCACATGGCTCATAAATGTGAAAATACATGTGTGGAGGGACTGACAGGCTGACATGTTAGGTGTCTGAAAATAAGGAGGGGAGCGCACCCCACTTCTGGATCTGCCACTGGTTTCGATAACTAGGTTAATGACTGTAGGAGAATTCCAACTGATGAAAGCAAAATGAATTCATCACTCAAACTATTCTCCTTTATTCTAGCAGCCATCAGGAAGACCAAGCACTACATAGTGGCATAGTCTGCTGTAGAGGTTGCACAACACACTGATCACATTTATCCCTACGACAATGACCATGATGACACCATATGTCTCCCAACTGCTTGAGGTATCTCAAAGCAGGAGTGAAAATCGATATTGATAAAAGCACTTAACAATTTGTTAACATGTGTTAGTTAATTAAGGACTTTGGAAATCTGTTCAAATCTCATACTCAGAGTCGTGGTCGTGACTCGTCTTGCAAAATATCAACAACCATTTAAGACCTTGACAAACACTTAAACATTAGACCAGGACTAATTTCAATAGAAGTTCCATCAACCTGCACATGGCTGTAACCTTGACATTCAGGAAGGTCACCTGACCATGTTGACAAAATAACATTTACAAATTATGGGTACACAGGACAAAGGTGAAAGTTCAGACATGTTTTGGAAAATATTTATCACTCCAATATTTAACCTTGTTTCACATGCTTTGTGCAATTTGTTTCAAACATAGTAAAGTGAAGTTTCATTTAGATGAGTGTCTGAAACAATTCATTATTAAACAATGTTAGAAAGTATTTTACTACATATTACGTAAAAATTGAGATCACTTGAAAGAACGTTTTGAAATGTTATCCTCATTTCGACCACTAACCCTATGGTTTGGGTAAATGTACTACTCAAAACATGTCAAGGACCAACCGATTCTTTCACACTAAAGCTAACCTGTCATTCAGGAGTAGTTAATATCCTTAAACATGATAAACAAGATGAAGGACTAGAAAATCATGTCACAGGACTTGGTTATCAAGTGTTATGTGGCCCTGGGAGAGAAGTTCTACACACAGTCCATCAAGTAACAACGGTTGTGCTCTAGCTTCTCCACAGTCTATCTAGCAAGCTGTATGAAAGTGAACAACATATCGTCATCCAATTACTTTCAACTTGCAGGTTCAACACGAGAAAACAAGTAGTTCATGAACATGATGAAAGTCTTCACATACCACTAACAAGCACTGATTCCATAGACTGACTGATATTAACGCTATTCTAGATACAAACAATTATCTTTTGGTATCTTACAGTAATAGGATTTGCATACACTTTCCACCCCTATTAACAATACTTCATAGAACTAAGCTCAAATTTTCACCAGCATAAGACAAAGTTTGTTCACTATTTGGGACAAGGCCTGTCAATGTTGCCTATGAAGTATCTCCTTATGGGGACACCAACACTCAGTAGGTTACAGCAAATGATGAACTACTGGCAAGCCTTGGTCAAAAGAAAGTATACGTGATTTTCCAACAAACAATCCACTGTTTAAAAGCATGTTTGAAGTTGGGAGGAGAGGCAACTCTAAACACTTGTACTCATACATACACTGTCCTTGTAGTTGAGGTTGATGGTGAGACCAAAAGGCCTAGCATTGAAGGCTTCATTGGCAGTGAATCCATATTCAAATGTTGCTTGCTTCTTCGGTTCCACAACTTGGCTATAAGACACAGTAGTGAACTGAAACAGATAACCACATTACAGTCTTCCAGAAAGACATAAAAAGGATTTCAATCAGCTATGGAACAGACAAATTCATTGAAAGTTCATTTGAACATCTAGGATCATTAAAGACAAACTTCTAACAATGTGCTGTACATGTTGTAACTGGCTGCATAACTGAAAGTGTAGGTAATGTGTTCAGTCAGTGTGGGTGCTTAATGTGAAGTTCATAAATAACATCCAGGAAGTCACTACACAGTGACTAATCGTAAGGATCATAACTTGATGTCCAACACCAATTTACTGATGGTTACTTATACGACACACAGATCTTACACAGAACATATACAGAGACATTCAATTCCTTGAGCAATTCAGTAAATGCCCAGTTTCAAAAAGCACACACCAGCATCCATAAGTTAAAGATGGTCATATTTTGAAATATTGATGTACCATATACTTCTGTCTAAATGTCCTAATCTTAACATGATTCATTTCATGACATTTGGGGGTTGTTTTTGTTGATGAAGGTTGTACTTACATTGTGGACATAGAAAGAGAAGTCTTGTGGGTAGCGGAATGATCCATCCATGGTTTCCACAACAAACTCCTTATCTCCCTTATTGGTAAACCCAACAAGAACCCGGACCAACTTGCCAGCAGGAATATCTAGTGGAAATGAAATACATAATGTTTACACACTGAAGGGCTCAAAAATCTAACTCCAAGCAGGGATAGAAATTAGCACTAGCCATAGCCACTTTCGCTAATGTTAAAGGTATCCTTAGGGCTGTAGAATATCTGACATTTTGGGGATGTTTCCATGTGCCTACTTATCGGAAAGAGGATACCTCAACATATTAATACTCACATCCTGTCAATGGGACATGCAAACTAGCAGTCAACAGCAAGATTAAAGTCACATCCTGTCAGGGTGTCAAGACATGAAATCAACAAAGTCTCCAAGACTTATCACCTGTCCAGTAAGTCGCCTCATATGACAAGCACACACTGCCGAGTACCAATTCTAACCTTTTATAACAAACATGATTCTCTTTAGTCCAAGCACTTTTTTTTTATCCACACAGAATGTACCAATGCAGGACTCATGTTACGATGATGCACTTACAATGAAACACCGACAGAACCAGAAATATTGTATCAGTGTGCAATGATGTGGGAATTTTGTGTAATGACTAATAATCACAAGGCTATACCACTTATAGTACTGAACTGTACACGATGTAGGGGTATGGAAATGGTTAAAAAATGAAGGTCATATTGTCAACACAAATACCTTACTGTCAAGAAGGAACATAGTTGTGATAATATAAAACATGCAAACCTCTGTTGTCACCAGAAGGGATGTCAGGATTCATGAACAAGATGAAGGTATCAGCATTCTCAGATGGTTTAAGTGGTTGATCCTCCTCCTCTTCCTGCAATACAAGCACAGCTTTAAACACATTATAGGAAGCACCATCATTCAAACAAATAAGAAAATATCATTTGAGAAAACTACAATCAGAGCCCGGTGCCTCAGTGATCCTAGTGCTGAGATGCTAAAATATGTGTGTGGAGGGACTGACAGGTTGACATGTGAAAATAAGGAGGGGAGCGCACCCCACTTCTGGATCTGCCACTGGTTTCGATAACTAGGTTAATGACTGTAGGAGAATTCCAACTGATGAAAGCAAAATGAATTCATCACTCAAACTATTCTCCTTTATTCTAGCAGCCATCAGGAAGACCAAGCACTACATAGTGGCATAGTCTGCTGTAGAGGTTGCATAACACACTGATCACATTTATCCCTAAAACAATGACACCAAGGGCACCTGATCAGAACCCTCATTCTTGAGGTTTGCTGCTTCAGTATATTAATCTACCAATCTAAGGTCACCCCTAATTTTCCATTTGAAACAAGAGATACGACACAGCCCATTCAACACAGGTATTTACCATGAACAGATATACTTTTTTAAATGAACCCACCTATGTCTACTGTTAGTGTGTTTTACCAGTTGTTTTGAAAGATCCTTTTTTAGATCTGCTCACCTTTTCTGTGGCAACAACTTCTCCTTCGTCTGCCCCCTCGCCAGTTTGTGCTCCCTCATCTGTCTCCACCGTTGCTTCATCATCTTCGCCTTCTATTGGGTCATTGCCAGCATCTTCAGCCATGGCAAAGTTGCTGGTCCTGCCTGTTAATAAAATTGACTGTCAACATTCAGACTTTGGGATAAGGTAACAGATCTTATTAGTCATAGACATATGTAGGTTCAACTGTAATTGGACAGGTTACATTTGTTTGCTTTTTAAATATGATACACATATCAATGCTGTATCATTAAAACTGATTAAAATGACACAAGATACATCCAACCTACAACATATTTAATGACATTTGAGGCAGTCTGCACCCAGAAAATTTGAGTGTAATCATGGTAATAGCCCAAGTAATATCTGCCTCATGTCCTCTGCAGATTTTACGCTACGCAGGTACGCATCATGCATATGTGGTTTTTGTTCAGTTTGTTGTTTAATGTCGCACTCAACAATATTCCAACGATAACGGTGGTCTGTTTACAATCAAGTCTGGACTAGACTATCCAGTGATTTACATCATGAGCATCGATCCATGCAATTGGGATTGATGACATGCATAAAGCAAGTCAGCAAGTCGGCAAGCCTGACCACCCGATCCTGTTAGTAGCCTCTTATGACAAGCAGAGTCGCCTTTTACGGCAAGCTTAACTAGAATGAAAGAAAGGTTACTGGACTTGAGCACACAAGAACAGGGGCAGAACAAGCAGACTATCTGTATAATCCACTGCTATTAAAACATTTCGGAAGACCATACAGCTGTAGTCATGATCATACATTACATTTGTGACATATGTTTTAAAGCATATGTTACGTTAGCAGATTTAGGCAATCATTATACCATTATGGAAAAAGAATGCTTTAACTTCTTTCAAGAATCGTTGTAAACATGGTACAAGACTCTCGATACATGCTGTCTAAAGTGAAACTAAACTTTACATAGGATTTCATTCATATAGCCAACGTTATCCAAGTGTTCCGCCACATTCAAGAAAATTCCAATACAGGCACATATCCATAAACCACCTGTCGATATTATTGTGATACTTTCATTATCATGATACTTTAAAATGAGGCAACAGTGTTCATTCGTGGCACTACCTATGACCACAACCGTCACACGTTAACACCAGACTGTCATCAGAGTTCATGACCGTTCTTGCAAAAATCCAATAAGAATTGTGTCAGATACGGCTACCGATAAATAAACCTTTAACACACTATCACAAATAAAACACCAACAGTGATCATATTTCCACTATTGTGCAGTTTACACGACTCAAAGAGTGCCACGTCGATGTAAACAATGCTTGTCCTAACAGATGTCTTACCACATTACAAGTGCTTACCTTGTCCAACCAACATCATTGTTGTTGGCAATAACAGCAGCATCAGAAAGAGAAAATTTCCAAGTAATTTCGCCATTATGATTTAGTGGCGTGAAACTAAAACTGTTTGAGATGGCTGAGGATTACGTGAAACCGGCTCACACCCCTATCAACGTAATGGCTCTCAACCGGAAAAGGCCGACATCAAATCGAGGTTTCCCGGAAGTAGTTCCCTTTTGTGACAGTTTTATCTATTGGTCAATGCTAGGAATTATAAGCCAATCAAAGAAATGGTATTAAATTATTTCCAGAATAGTACATTGACACTTATTGGTCACATTTTTACACTTTTCTCCAAAATGAACCAATAGCAACAGCTGTCTTATGCGCTTGTTTACGAGAGATGAGAGCGAGCAAGTAGTAAAAGGTGTTTCCCGGCATCTAGTTTATTTGCTGTCAGACCCATGGTAGGCGATTTAAATAATTGTAATTTTGGCAAAATCATATTTGTCAATCATACAGTAAATGCAAAGAAATCAAAAGTGTGCATGCAATACCATAACGCTTCGTTGTAACTAATCAAGGACCCGTGCAATCAGACAGCTGACAGTTGTCAATACTTTGTGGCCGAGGAATGTCAGATAAGACTGCGAAGATCTTTGTCATTTCATGTCAGTTGTAAGCGATCATTTTCCAGTTTATGTAAACTACCACTGCGAAATTACTGCCTCCGCGGAAGTGTCTTGTTCCTTGCACTACCTACATCCAAGTGCAGGCCCTAAAAAATGTAGGAAGTAGCTATATAGGCCTATATAGTAGGACATGGATATATTGTGTCTAAAGAGATAAAGACTCAATCATAATCAATTGAAATCGAACGTTTGAAGCAGACAATATTTGATCATTACATAGTGATCTATAATTCTTAGGATAAAGGACCTGTTGTTCACTTTGGACAGATTCAGGTTTCATTGAAATCATTAACTGATGATTGTGAGACTGAACATCTGAAAATGATAGTCTGTTTCAAATGATATTGACACTTTCCTTTGTATTTGCATATTCTTGCAAGAATATTATCATTTTTAATTATATGTAAGCTATATCTTGCTGTTCCGACAGTATCGCTTAGATTACATGGCCAGAAGCATACCTATCATCTTTCATTGTTATGCAAATAAGCATATGGTACTAAGATGTTGATTGCATTCATTGACAGGTAACAGAATATGTCCAACAGTTATCTAGTATGGCAGCTGATGTGAGCAGTCACGTGGAACTGATTGCAATTTTTATTTATTTATCCACCTTTCCACAGCTAATCCTGTCTTGTGGGCAAATGAGACAATTAACAGTCCACATATTTTGACAGTTTGTCATCTTCCTCTTCTTTCATGGAATAGCCTGAAGCTTGGATAATAAAACCATCACTCTACCCTTCCCCATTATTCCCACCTGCCCCAGCACATGACCCACCCCACATATACATCAGACTTGATTGACTAGAATATTACAGGGGTGGAAGAGGACATACTGTTGAATTGAAGGTCTTTGCATTATGCAATGTCCCTATGATTATGAGCACACATATTTGTTTGATTTTTTACAAATTAATGTATGATCTCATACAATTTAGAACATTTTAATTCTATTTCATAATTGTAAATTCTTCCAATGTATTGTTCTGGCAGGTGTGTACCACAATACTTTCTTGTTATTTCTCCAGTCTGTTCCAAAAGCTGCCAGCACTTACTTGTCCTTTCATGACTCCTTTAGCATTGTTTTAGTTGATTTTAGTCTCAGCTATGGACCATCAAGGATACACTACAGGGATAGACACCTTTAGTCCTTTAGTTCAAGATCTTGTGGGACAAGCTGTTTTGTACCCAAATGTAGCTATTTTACAATAAAAAACACTAGTTTGAAACGAACTACAAACTAGTGTATTGGTATGGCTGAAACCGTGCACCAAAGTGACAACACTTGTATCTTGTTACTTTGCTCATGGTTACAGATAAAATTTATAGTATACAATACTTGGACACTTTGTAACCACAGGCCCGGATCCTATTCCTAAACAAGTTATCCATCCCAGCCCTACTTCAACACACTTTTGGGGGGATAAAATTACACAATTCTGATATTTTCATGTTGTAAGCCAACACCAGTGTATGATCAGGCTTAATAATGAACCAAATGCTAATCAAGATAAAATGTGGAATACTGTATTCGACGTAATAAGCGCCCACGGTGACATTTGCAAATTTATTGGCTAGTGAACGTTCCCAAAAAGCACCCCTTCCAATTGATCAATGTACAAAAGACTTATTTATTCACCTATAATACGCACTCGTGTGTTAAATGCACCCTTAATTGTGGGCAATTAAATTCTGGAAAGTTATATCTGTCATATATAAACACTTCAGGCTGTCAGCATAAACCATGAAATATATCTTTCAACTCTGTTTCTTTCACGAAAATAATATTCTACTAAGAGCCCCTTATTTCTAATTTTGAGAGCACCCTGGGCGCTTATTACATCGAATATGGTAGTACTAGTTTGTAAACCAGTGTGCAAATCATTTAAACAGTTTGTGTGTATATATATTGATTCATAATGAAGTGTATCATGTATGGCATGGTGGAAAGTTTATATCTCTCTGCACAGGTACATCAGTGTATTGTCTAGCACAATACATTGCTTCAACAGATAACACAAATATCAGAACATTATAACACTCACACGTTCAACCCTTATGGGAAACATTACATTTTATCAGAAATGAAAGGACAATATATCAACAGTGTCACCTACACATTTTTTCATGCATCAGATACTCATGTTTGTTTGATTGAATCATGAATTCTTTTTGAATTCTTTTCTTTAATACAAAATACAAATTTTAATCTGTATGTGTTTTCTGCCTTATGCTGACAACCTATGTAGGCATCATCTAGATTTGCTATGAGAACTAGAGTAAGTAAATGCTGATATTTCACAGCCATGGTGCAAAGACTACCTGTATTACAGTTAAGTGGTGTGCAATATGTTAAAGGTATATGTCAATTGTCTTGTTGTAATCATGTCACTGATCGTAAAAAGTAGTTGTATGGATGAAGGTATGCCTTGTTTCCTTCAATGCAGAGAAAACTTAGACGTGAGATGACAAATAAATCAATAGAGGGTCTCAAAAAGACTTTAATGAATGTCATGCAGAAATCCAACTCCTTGTTTGGGAGGGTCACAAAAAGACTTAGTGTATGTCATGCAGAAAACCAACTCCTCATTTGGGAGGGTCACAAAAAGACTTCAGTGAATGTCATGCAGAAAACCAACTCCTTGTTTGGGAGGGTCACAAAAAGACTTAAGTGTATGTCATGCAGAAAACCAACTCCTCATTTGGGAGGGTCACAAAAAGACTTTTGTGAATGTCATGCAGAAAACCAACTCTTTGTTTGAGAGGGTCACAAAAAAGACTTTAGTGAATGTCATGCAGAAAACCAACTCCTCATTTGGGAGGGTCACAAAAAGACTTTAGTGAATGTCATGCAGAAAACCAACTCCTTGTTTGTGAGGGGTCCAGAATAAAAATGAAGTTCTATGGCTCAGCTATTGATGATTTTTGTGTAATTTTCAGTTAGCTACTTTGGTAATTAAAATGATTAATTTCATGTCTTTTGGAGGGTTAAGCATAAATGAATATGAATAATGGGATGGTTGCCATTATAACGACATACCAGTACATTTTGGGAATCCTTTTTTGTATTTTCATGTACTCATAGATGAAAAACCCATGGCCGAACCCCTTGTGATAAATCACCGGTCCCTTGCTACGGTTGTGGATATTAATCCTGCTGATGTGTTGCTGACTTTGTGCAGTTACATAACTTTACAACATATCAGTCGGTCTAAAGAAGAGAGGCACTGTGTTAATGTCTCTGACCTCACTGTCATTTATGATGGTATTGTTGAGATGCCTTAAGGCAACTTCCTTAATTTGTTTTATGTCTTTTAATTACTGTTATTTACGATGAAGTCCATCTTGAATAATCTGGCGTTTTTATTATAGTCTTAGAATTTGAGGTTTAAGTTAAATTTCTGTTTTGAATTAAAATCTGAATTCAGACATTTGTATTTAAATAAACACATCTGAGAACAGATTTCCCTTGAACTCAAGTAATCCTCAGGCTTTTCTCTAATATCAAACACATTCATTTAAAACATGTACGACACGTACACATCACTAAGTGACATGAGCCTTAACGTGTTGTGAAGAGCGGTATGTCATGGAAACATCTTTTTGTACTCTTCTTTTTCAACAACAATGCACATGCCTCTGTAGTCCGCCCGGAGAGCCGAAGGTCCGGGGTTCAATCCCTGGCCGCGTCATACCAAAAGACGTTAAAAGATGGTACTGCTTGTTACCCTGTCTGGCGCTCGGCAATAAGGGGCTAAAACAAGGACTGGTCAGCCCGGAGTCGGTATACTGTGTCTGAGTAGGGTATTCATGTTAAATGGCGGAAGGGTATCTCAGTGAGCTAGCACCTGTGGGGTGGTTATAAGATGACATGAAGCAGTGGTACTTCGCTCATATATTCTTGTGATATAACAAAGTATGGATTTTTTTGTGAAATTGGAAATTCATTTTATTTTCTCGGATGGAATAACATATTTTCAAGCAGTTGAATGTGTGAATTTAAACATTTTGATATTTTTTAGCTGAATTACAGTAATTAGAATCAGTGGGATATGAGAAAAACACCAAGAAATACAGATTTCTAAATGGAACTTACGTTGCTATAAAGCCCCAAGTAAAGAAAGCAGACATTTTGTATGAATAATAATGAACAAAGATTTGAGGTTTGTCCATTGTTGTCTTGAACCACAATATTACAGTAGACTTGGTATTGGGTATTGAATTAACTGCCAGTATGTGTATTGTACTAAACTCAAATTACAAACTTTCATTAATGTTGTGAGACTATGTGACTAGTTTGGCGAACAAGTCAATAAATGAATATGCCCATAGATTTCAATCAATCAAAATGGTCGAGTCAGTTGGTTTGTTGTTGTGAAGATGAAAGTTCATTTGACTCTCTGTGCGTATCAACATGATCAATTAGTGCTGCTTACTGCTCATGGTATATCGATAAACTGAGCTTTTACATTGATTACTGATACTGATCAATGGTCACTTTTATTTTTCATCATGAAATGATTAATATCAGCCATTATTCTTTGTTCTGAGTTTTTTTTGGTGCAGTGTGGTAACTCAATATAATACAATATGTGAACTGCTTTTTGCAGTTTTACTGTGTACAGGGTTCAACATGACCACTTGTCCACGAGTCCCAAGACTTGTGAAAATCTGGAAAATGTGCCTGTTTTCTTTCCAGATTGTGTTACTTTATACAAACCGCAAGTTTGCAGCAGGTTTAGGTTTACTTTAGTAAGTGCCCCGGCTGT